TTGAGAGAGATTATTGTTATGGGATTTTGTCCCATTGTTCTGTTAAAATTTGGTGTATTTGAGGGGCCTTTCTTGCCTTAAAGTAGCCCATTTAGTTGTTCTTGTAACCATGGTTTTGAGTCTATGAAGTTCCTGAGCTGTTGTTTGTCTGTGAAACTGTGTGTTGTTCCTTCTATTATGAATGAGAGTCTTGCTGGGAAAAGTATTTTGGGGGAGGCATTTATTTCATTGAGTTTTTTTACTATGTCCCACCACTGTTTTCGGGCCATGAGGGTTTCATCAGAAAAATCAGCTGTGAATTTTAAGGATGCTCCTTTGTAAGAGATTTCTTTCTTCGATCTTGCTGCTTTCAGAATTTTGTCTCTGTCTAAGGTTTTGGTCATTTTGATCAGAATGTGTCTTGGGGTATTTTTATTCGGATTTCTTCTAGCTGGTACCCTTCGGGCCTCCTGAATGTGGTCACAAGTTTTCTTCAGCTCTGGAAATGTTGCAGCAATGATGTCTTTGACAGTTTCTTCTTCATCGAGGTTTTCTTCCTGTACCTCTGGGACTCCAATAATTCTTATGTTACCCCTCTTGGCTTCATCACGATCTTCTCTTGCCATCTGTTCCCGAATTGTGAGTCTCTTTTCCATTTTCTGCTCTTTTCTGGAGAGTCTCTGAACTTCATCTTCGAGCTCACTGATTCTGTTCTCAGCAGCTGTTACTCTGCTGCTGAGGCCTTCCACTGAGCTTTTCAATTCGCCTACAAGATTTTTCAGGTCTGACATTTCTGATTGCATTTTCCTCATTTCTGCCTTCAGATCCTCTTGTCTTCTATTGGCATTGCTTTCCATTGTTTCTTTTAATTCCCTAAGCATCCTAAGTAGCTCCCTTCTGGTTATCTCAGTTTTATATTTTAATTGCTTGTGCTTTGGACGACAGCCAGCTGTGCTCAGGGCTTACTCCTGGCTCTGCACTCAGGAAATACTCTTGGGGGTAGGGGTCAGGGGGACCATATGGATATCGGGGATCAAATGTGGGTTGGCTGCATACAAGGCAAGAGAGCTAACAACTGTACCATCTGGATCCTCTCTCAATTGTTAAGGTTGAGGATATCATCTCAAGTTAAACACACCAGACAGCCTCCAACCAAACTGAAGGGGTTACGTGGAGAGTCTTGGTGGTAGGGCCAAAGAAGTGGGTCTAGAATACAGAACCACTGTCTTGACAGGTTGGAAGGCAAGGCTTCAGGTACAAGGCTATTACCTAACCTTAAGTAGTAATAACATTCGCCTCATCAGATTTTGGACTTGCTGGAGACTAGTCGCTTTTTTCCCCTTTTTTCCCAGTTCTACATTTTGGAATGGGTTGGAGCGAAAGCACAGCGGGTAGGGTGTTTGCCTTACACGCAGTCAACATGGCCGACCCGAGTTCGATTCCTTCACCCCTCTCGGAGAGCCAGGCAAGCTACCAAGAGTATCTCGCCCGACAGCAAAGCCTGGCAAGCTACCCATGACGTATTGATATGCCAAACACAGTAACAACAAGTCTCACAATTTGTTGTGAGACATTACTGCTGTCTGCTCAAGCAAATTGATGAATAACGGGAGGACAGTGACAGTGACAGTGACCTTTTGGAATGAAAGCTTATCTGATGCCTGTCCTACACACCTTTATATTCTCATTTTGTGGTCACATCCAAGGATGATCAGGAGCTACATCCAGCTCTGTGCTTGGGGGAACTTGTGGTGCCAGGAAATTAACCTCTGGTTTCTTGCATGCAAAGTATGTGTTCAGTTAGCCCACTGAGTTAGATCTCTGACCCCCACAGTCCTAATTTTTTTTTTATTTTGGGATCACACCCAGAGATACACAGGGGTTACTCCTGGCTTTGCACTCAGGAATTACTCCTGGCGGTGCTCAGAGGATCATATGGGATGCTGGGGATTGAAACTGGATCCGCCACGTGCAAGGCAAACGCCCTACCGGCTGTACTCCAGCCACCAGTCCTATTTTTGAAGCATATTATCTAGGTTTGGGCTGGAGCGATAGCACAGCGGGTCGGTCATTTGCCTTGCATGTGGCCAACTTGGGTCCGATTCTTCCATCTCTCTTGGAGAGCCCGGCAAGCTACCAAGAAAGAGTATCCCACCTGCAGATTTCCACTTTACTCTCTCTCTCTACATTGATCACATTCAATATTACAACAAAGGACCCAACATTGTTATTTGGAATTTTCCCCAACATTCAGACCTGCCACAGAGACACACACAGGGGGTGGGTAGGAGGGAAGATATACTGGGGTTCTTGGTGGTGGAAAATGTGCACTGGTGAAGGGATGGTGTTTGATCATTGTATGTCCAACTGAGACTTGAACTGAAAAGCTTTGTGACTGTTCTCACGGTGATTCAATAAAAAAATAGTATCCCACCCGCACAGCAGAGCCTGGCAAGCTCCCCATGATGTATTCAATATGCCAAAAAACAGTAACAACAAGTCTCACAATGGAGATGTTACTGGTGCCTGCTCGAGCAAATCGATGAACAACTGGAGGACGGTGCTACAGTGCTACATTATCTAGTTTTACAGACTCACAGCTGGATAGCAGCAATTGTATGTAAGGATGACGAATTGACTGATACCTCGTCTCATCTACACTTGACTCAGGTGATAATTAGATGAGACCTTTTTCTTTAAGGCTAAAGCTAGGAAAAATCATTTTAGGATTGCTTGGCTGGAATATATATTTCATTTTGCAGTGCTGGGAATCAAAACCAAAACCTCCCACATGGCAGGTGAGTACTCCACCAAGGGCCACTTCCCAGATCCCTGGAATGAATGTATTTGCATATAAGGACATACATTTTGGGAAGCCAGATGCAGAATGATATGGCTGAACTCCTCCCACCAATATTTACACTGTTGTGCTTGCCTTCAATGTGCATGCTCTTAAAAATAAAACGCTTGAGAAGCAAGGTTAAATGGACTGATGTGATTGGGGTGTCTGAGGGAATTGGTAGCCTTGTAAAACAAGGAAGAGAGAAAGCACATGAATATACCAAGGAAAGGCAATATGAGGAATAGCAAGAAGGCAGTTTTCTGCAAATCAGGAAGAAAGTCTTTTGCAGAAACAAAGCAGCTCACTCGTGGAATTTTTAGTCTCTGGAACTGTGAGAAATGTTTCTGTTGTTTAGTTACCTGGTCTATAGTAGTTCATTAGAGGAGTCTGAGCAGATTATGATTTATAAAAACACAGTGGGAAAAAATGAACAGCTGGGAACCTTATGTTCCTATGAAAGACCTGATATCTGTATCACCAGAGAATGCAGTCAAAGAAATGATGTCTGAAATTTCCAAAATCGGCCAAAAGATACAGACTTGTCTTTTGATCAAAGAAGTTTAACAAAAAGGATCACTGTCACTGTCCTCTTGTTCATCGATTTGCTTGAGCAGGCCCAGTAACATCTCCATCGTGAGACTTGTGGTTACTGTGTTTTGGCATATTGAATATATCATGGGTAGCTTGCCAGGTTTTGCTGTGCAGGCAAGATACTCTCAGTACCTTTCCAGGCTCTCTGAGAGGGGCAGAGGAACCAAACTCGGGTCAGCCATGTCAGCCGCGTGCAAGGCAAACACCCTACTGCTGTGCTATCGCTCCAGCCTGAACAGGATAAACAAAGAAATTCATGCAGAAACACATGGTAGCTAAATTTGTGAAAACTAAAAATACCCTGCTTAATATGTTTACAATAATTATCCTTCAAAGTTTCTATAGAGAAAAAAAAAGCAAAGATATTATCTGCCTCTGCCCAAGAGCAGACAGTGAAGGACAAGCATTTCAAAGTCTTCAAGTTTATTGTTTTTTAAACAATTTAATATAGTTAGTTCAGTTCTACAACAAAATTTTACTCTTGTAAAACAGTTAAGGTGATGTTGTATCAACAAGCATTTTCTTGGGTTACTCAGATAGTTTAGGACACTGAAATCACCAAAGGTCCCTCAACATTATCTCTTTGCAGGCTGTAGATCAGAATACTTGGTGTTAACAGCACTCTTTGTAGATAATACAGTAAGTCAGGTCTAAGACAAAATGTGCAGAAACTACTGCCAGGCCAATATTCACTGGCTTCTGGGGAAGATACTCTCATGGAAATTGTGGATGGCCAAGTATAGTTTCTCCTTGTTCTAAGGAGCTATCTCAACTAACTTGTTCTGGGGGGGCTGGGATGTGGCAGAGAACTCCTGGTTATTCTTGGCCAATCACACATACTGCACTCTTAGGGGTTACTCAAGCCATCCCAGAAGTCCTTGAGGCCTTCATGGCCACAACTGCTGGGTGCTCAGAGGACACAAAGCCACACCCAAAGATGCTCAAAGGACTGTTTGGGATGAGGTTGAATTGGGGTCAGCCACCTGCAGGCATTTACTTTAATTTACCTCCTATACTCTCTTCTTGGACTGTTCCATCAACATTTCTTGGGCTTATTTCCCCAGATTTTTCTCTATCTTTTCCATATACTTCTTTCATGCCCCCTACTTAAGACTAAAGACAACTTCTTACACTTGACAAACTCCCTGTGAATTTCAAATCTCATTTCTACCTCTGTAATTTCTCTGAGAACCACTTATCTTTTCTAAACCTCTGTCCCTTCAGCATTATTATTCTACTTTGTCCACAGAAGACATCCTGTTTTTCACAAAGACACGCACTACCTCTCTTTCAATTATTTGTTATAGGATATATACCTTAAGATACTGGACATAATTTTTCTCTTTCCCAGCAAAGTTCACAATATCCTTAATTGGGATACTTTTATTTTCTTTTTGGGTCACACCCTGCAATGCACAGGGGTTACTCCTGGCTTTGCACTCAGGAATTACTCCTGGTGGTGCTCGGGGGACGATATGGGATGCTGGGAATCAAACTTGGGTTGGCCGCGTGCAAGGCAAATGCCCTACCCGCTGTGCTATCGCTCCTGTCCCAGTTGGGAATCTTTAAAAGGGATATGATCCATCTTTCAGTTTTAAGTAATCTACACTCCATCCCAACAATGACTTCCCAATGAATACACCTTGTAATAGAGTTAAGTTTCTTTGTAGCCCCCACACCACATATATTGGATGTTCAACATGTGCTGGAAATAATTATATTTACACAGTCCTTATCCAGTATGAATTCTCTTCTGCTGACCAAAGACTGAGTGCTCGCTAAAAGTCTTCCCACAGCCCTTGCTTTTCTCTGCAGCATGTGTTTTCTGATGTTGAGAGAGAGATGAACTCTGGCTGAAGGATTTACCACACTCCTTACACTCGTAAGGTTTCTCCCCGGTGTGAGTTTTCTGATGCTTTGTGAGAGACGAGCTCTGGCTGAAAGCCTTTCCACAGTCCTTACATTTGTAAGGTTTCTCTCCAGTGTGTGTCCTCTGATGACGGATAAGGGCTGAACGGTCGCTGAAGGCTTTGGTGCAGTTGTTGCACTGATAGGGCTTCTCCCCTGTGTGAGTCCTCTGGTGCTGAGTCAGAGCTGAGCAGTAGCCAAAGGCTTTTCCGCATTCTCTGCACTCATAAGGCCTCTCCCCTGTGTGAGTTCTCTGGTGCTGTATGAGGCCTGAGCGGTCACTGAAGGCTTTCCCACACTCGTTACACTTATAGGGTTTTTCTCCAGTGTGAATGACCTGATGCTGAGTAAGAAATGTGCTTTGGCTAAAGGCCTTCCCACACTCATTACACTCGTAAGGTTTCTCTCCAGTGTGAATTCGTTGATGCTGAGTGAGGTATGAACTCTGATTAAAGGCCTTCCCACATTCATGACACTCGTAGGGTTTCTCTCCAGTATGGATTATATGATGCCGAATAAGGGCTGAGCGGTGACTGAAGGCCTTTCCACATTCGTGGCACGCATAGGGCTTCTCCCCAGTGTGGATTCGCTGGTGTAGAGTGAGGTGTATGCTCTGGCTAAAGGTTTTACCACAGTCATTGCACTCATAGGGTTTTTCTCCTGTGTGTATCCTCTGATGTAAGACAAAAGCTGAGTAGTAACTAAAGGCTTTCTCACACTCACTACACTTCCAAGGTTTCTTTCCTGCACATGTTCTTTCATGCTTCATTAGCTCTGGCTTCTGTTTTAAGTTCTTTTTAAACAAATCATAATCATGTAGACCCTCTCCTTGCTGTTGAACAAGTAATGACCTCGGGCTGAAAGTTCTTCCAAATAGATCACACTGGCAACTTCTCTCCCCAGATTTCTTCTGGATCATAACCCCTTGTAGTAAACGCTTCTCCTGATGTTCCTGCTGGCTCTCTAACGAATTCTCATGTTCACTGGAACCTTTCTTTGGAAATCTGTCTGCTAACACACCAGGGGCTGATTTCTCTTCTGAAATATCCAGCTCTGAAGGAAGGTCCTTGCTGTCTGCCCCATCTAAAAGAAACAAAAACCACACAGGTATCATTTCCTTCACCAAGAGACAAACAATTGCTGTGATAAGTAAATAATGAAACAGACAAATCAAAAATGCTCATGAGGAATATATGACACTGAAATTCTTTAAAAATAGCCTTGCCATCTAGAGATACCAGGAGACAAGAAAAATGACTGGGTAAAGAAGTGTTGGCTACACAGAGAGGCTGTGTCGGCAGTGACAATTCTCTGCAGAGGGTTAGGAAATAAAAAAGCACAGTAGAGGGTCTGGAGAGATAGTACAGAGGGCAGGGCTCCTGTGCAGCGGGTAGAACTCTTGCGGATAGAACTCAGGTTCCATCCCTGGAATTCCATATGGTTCCCCAAGTACTGCCAGGCATAATCCTTGAGCATCACCAGGAATGGCCCGGAAGGCAGGAAAGAAGGCAGGTAAGCAGGCAGGGAGGGAGTCACGGAGTCAGGGACGGGAGCAGGAAGACAGGCAGGGATGGAGGCAGGGAGGCAGGCAGGGATGGAGGCAGGGAGGCAGGCAGGGATGGAGGCAGGGAGGCAGGCAGGGATGAAGGCAGGGAGGCAGGCAGTGAGAGAGGCAGGGAGGCAGGGAGGCAGGCAGGCAGGGAAGGAGGCAGGCAGGGAGGCAGGGAGGCAGTCATTTTCTGACCACCCTGCAACCAAAGCTCCACCATTCCTATCTGTCTCAGTCACTACTAGCAGATGAACTTTCAGAACCATTCCCCTTGCACAAGAATCTCTCCTGGTGAGAGAGAACAAAAGGGAATGCCCTGCCACAGAGGCAGGGTGGGATGGGAGGATGGGGGGTGGGAGGGATACTGCGATCAGTGGTGGTGAAGAATGGGCATTGGTGGAGGGATGGGTAGTCGATCATTGTACAACTGAAACCCAAGCACAAAAATTTGTAAGTCTACAACTGTACCTCATGGTGTTTCACTAATAAAAATTAAAAAATAAAAGGAAAAAAATCCCTCCTGGTTCTATAGTCTCAAGATGAGACACAAACTCTAAAAGCTCACATTTTAAGTGGTCCAGGTCTACCAATTCAAATAATCACACATCTCAGTAATTAAGAAGCAAATAATCATCTCTAACGACCCGAAACCTAATAGATTAGAGAGAAGGAAAAAAGAATTAAGACTTAAAAAAAAAGTCTTATCATTTGGGGAGAGGAAAGTCAAAATCTCTGTGTTTTCTGGCTGGTTGCTAATTATCATACCTGCTCTAAAATCCTAGACTTTTCAGTAAGAGTTCTAAGGGAAAATATTCACAGCTAAAAATGTTGAAATAGTTCCAAGTTTAAATGGCCTTCACTATTCATTTCAATCATGACTCTATTGAAATAAACTGACACAACACATACCATAATCAGGGTAGCGTTTGGGGGACTGGAGAGATGGCACGACAGGTAGGGCATTTTCCTCGCATGTGGCTGACCCGGGTTCGATCCCCAGCATCCCATATGGCTCCCCGAGCAACACCAGGAGTTATTCCTGAGTGCAGAGTCAGCAGTAACCCCTGAGCATCGCCAGGTGTGACCCAAAAAGCCCAAAAAAAAAAATAATAATCAGGGTAGTGTCTGGAATTTAAGAAACAGCTGGAGAAATACCTGAAAGGCAAATGCATTTCTAGCTAAGGGAAATGTGGAAAAAAAATAAAAGCACCACCCAGAAAATGTACTAGAGTAAAGAGGCAATGTCCAGATCACCCTTGATCCCAGAGCACAAGGAGGAGAACAGAGAAGAGAAGAAATTGCGAGGGGAAGGAAGGGCATGAAAAAGGGAAGTTATGGAGGAACCGGGGTGGGGGGCCTCCAGTGATGTGGGTGATGTGGAGGTATGGCATCTTTATAGATCCAAAGCACAGACTCAACAACACTAGAACATGAGATCTAAACTACCAACACCGAACTCTGAAACGATGAAATGTGCTTGTCACGGCAGGGGATGGATGAGGGAGGGAGCATGAGAACAACAGCAGAGGAAAGGGGACACTGGTGGTGGGACGAGTGCTGCTCTACTGTATGCTAAAAATTCATCCATCAGTAACTTTGTAACTCACAGTTCCTTAATTAAATAAAAATATTAAAAAATTAAAGCCCCAAATATGTGTGGAGAGTACCTGATTAGTGAAGGATAGTTAAGAGGCTTGCAACTCATGGGTTTAGATTTCAAATTACTCAACAAAGGAGGCAAAAGTTAGACATGTAGACTAATATAGGCTTACTCTGAAAGCAGGTAGAGAATTAGAGGACTGGCAGAGTAAGCAACTTCCTGTGGGGAACACAGCAGCGTCAATGAGCTGCTTCACTGAGGGATAAGATGAAAGAAAGCATAATTAGCTACTAGTCTACTACAGTGATGAAGCTGAACAGAAGAGGGTCAAATCCAAGTCATCTTTAAAAAAATAACAGTTTTCAGAACTTAACAGCCATCGTTTACATCTTAGTCAGGGGATGTCCTACGGGTCTCTTGGATCATGTCAATTAATCCTCACAATAATTCTACAAGTTAACTGTTATCATTTTACAGCTGGAGAATTCAAGTCACAGAGAGGGCAATTCACTTATTAAAGATCACGGACTTAATGAGTAGCTGGGACAGGCTCTCAAACCAGGAAGACAGGTTCTAAAGTTCTTAATCACTATCGTTAAGTTCTTAACTACTGATTCTTAACCTCTATGCTAGGCTGCCTCTAGCAGATAGAGAAAAGGATAGAGAAAGGGAAAGCAAAACTCAGATCAATTTATAGTCACTGGTCTAAGAAAAAAAATCACATCCTGCAGAGATAAAATAACATGAAATATATACGTGTATATGAAAATGCTTAATATACAAAGTATTAGAAAATATTAACACATGGGTTATAATTATCTTATTTGGGAAAAAAACTGGTTGAAAGGGTGGAAAAATTTACTTTGTACAAGATAAAGTTACAAACTTATTACTGATCATCATCCATGGAGGTTAGGGTGACATGATAAAAAAGGGGTTCCAGTGAAGCTCCTCCATAAGCATTTTAAAGATTTCAAAGCATTTCCATTCAGCATCTGAATTTTATGTTCACTGTTTCTAGCAATCACTCACCTGTACCAGATGCTTTTGAGACTTTCTCTAGCTCCATCCCACACTCCAACTGAGAGACTACATCAGACTTGGGAATTGGAAGGCCTAGCCATGGGGAAAGAAAAGGCATCTGGTAAATATCTCGGTGTTGGCTTCTTGTTTATTGGGGCCACAAGGGAAGGGAGAGGAAGAGCGGGAGAGAGATTCTGGATTTCTCCCCTAACTCTACTCAGAAGACAGGAAGAATTAAATGGAGTTTACTTGAGTGCAAAACAATGAAGTCATCCAATTTTACCTTTCCTTATTAAAAGAATAAGCACTGGGGCTGAAGCGATAGTACAGAGGATAGGGCATTTTTTTGCCTTGCATGCAGCTGACCCAGGTTCGATTCCCAGCATCCCATATGGTCCCCTGAGCACCACCAGGCATAACCCCTGTGCATCTCTGGGTGTGCCCAAAAAGAAAAAAAAAACACACTCATTTCTGCCCCCCCCCCCACTTTATTTAAATACCATGGTTACAAAGATGCTCATGACAATTTATTATAGTCAATATTCCATCCCCAATCCCACCACCACTGTGACCTTCCCTCCACCATTGTCTCCATTTTCCCAATGACCCTTCAAGCCTGCACCCAGAGCAGGCCCCAAATAATTTATTGTATATTGCTTGTTGGGCTGGAGCGATAGCACAGCGGTAGGGCATATGCCTTGCAAGCCGCTGGCCCGGCCGAGCCGGGTTCGATTCCTCTGCCCCCTCAGAGAGTCCAGCAAGCTGCCGAGAGTATTTCGCCCGCACGGCAAAGCCTGGCAAGCTACTCGTGATGCATTCAATATGCCAAACACAGTTAACAACAAGTCTCACAATGGAGATGTTACTGGGCCCGCTCGAGAAAACTGATGAACAACAGGAGGACAGTGACAGTGATATTGCTTGTTACCACTAAATGGCTAACGGAATTATTAAAAAAATACTTCAACAGTGCTTATTCTCCTGCCTCCGCGCCTGGCTGTCCTCACCGGGGCCCCATGGAGGTGGGTAGGTTGAGTTTCCCTCCCCACCCCGAGCAGAGCCCCTGTAGCTGAAGACCTCCGGTTCCAGCCACAGCCATGCTTAAGACCACTCTCCACACGTTTAGACGAGCCTCACACATGAAGGAACCGGCAGAGGAACCCAGGTGTGTGGGACCCGGGGTGTAGATCTCCAATCCAAGCCTGCTCGGATTGGGACCGGGGCCTCCTCCACCCAGATTCCCATCTTCCAGTATGTAGGTGTTACACCCACCAACTGCCCCCGGCGCCGTGTAATTCCATCAATGGCCAAGACCCAGAGACAATAAAACCCAGCTCCTGGAAGCACATGGCTGCATTCGCAGCCATGCGACATCTTATGATCTAGTTCTTACTCTGGAGAACCTGGCAGGCTACCAAAAGCATTCTGCCCACACGACAGAGTCTGGCAAACTCCCCGTGGTGTATTCAATATGCCAAAAACCAGTAACAATGATGGGTCTCATTCTCCTGACTCTGAAAGAGCCTCGAATGTGGCACTTTCTAAAATCTCAGGGCTAGGATGAAGGAGACGTTACTGGTGCCTGCTCGAGGCAATTGATGAACAACAGGATGACAGTGATACAGTGATACTTCAATAGAAGAAAATTTGTGAAAATCATTACATCTCACCATGTAAACATTGAGTCCTTGTCTGAGGGTTTACTAAGCTGTTTTTGCTAGTTGACTCTTTTGTGCAATGTTCCTGTTAGTTTAACTTAGTTGGCTTCTGTACTACATTCCCATCCCATCTGGTGTGCTAGTACTGGAATGTTAGTATTGTAGAGTTTAGAGGTGCTGTGTAGCTGCCAATGTGGCCTTGGGCTCCAGAAAATTGTTAACTATTTAACTGGGCAGTGAGCTATATGGAGGCAGTTGTGGGATATGAGAACCCATTTCTTTTCTTTTTTTTTTTTTTTTTGCTTTTTTGGGTCACACCCGGTGAGGCACAGGGGTTACTCCTGGCTCATGCACTCAGGAATTACTCCTGGCGGTGCTCGTGAGACCATATGGGATGCTAGGAATTGAACCTGGGTCAGCCACATGCAAGGCAAATGCCCTACCCACTGTGCTCTCGCTCCATCTCCAAGTACCCATTTCTCAAGAGGCATTTCCACTAGAATCTCTTCCAGTATCTTTGATCGGGGAACAGGGAAGAGGGAAGTTACTTCCTGGAAGAATAGCATAAAAAGATGTCCATTTCGACTTAGAGGGTTAAACTATCTCTAGAAATGAAGCACATTAATTGCTCGTCTCAAGGCTTATAGGGAAAAAAGAATCTTTGCATCTAAGCACCTTCGAGTCAAGGGAACTGAGAAAACTATGGGACCACACTAGGCAAACTCACAGGACAGGGGAACCGTCCTTACCCAGCAAGACCAGACTCCGAGGCTTCTCAGGTAGATCTTGGGGGTTCAGTTGCCCCCATTTGGCAAGAGCCCTGGCCGTATCCCTGATCAGCAAAGACTCCTGAAAAACCAAACAGATCAATATTCACCAAGGGCCCTCCTTCCAGGACCTTGGGAAAGGACTCAAATAATATAGTCCAAAAGGAAGATAGGAAGGGCAGAAAGGTCAGAGAAAACGACATCTAACATCCCAACAGAGATCAAAAGAGATGATCTGACTGATTAGCGGCCACAGACTCACTCAGCGCCTCCATGTGTTCAAAACTCATATTACCTGATTGATGGAACAAAACCACCTTCAGTGTGCATCGGTAAATCACAGAGCTATAGAAATCCTTGCTATAATTAGACAGAGGAGAGGAGAGAAAATAGAACTTAATTTTCTTTATGGACCTGACATAAAATATTTTCTCTCTGGCTTTTTTGAGAATAAAATCAGTCAACATACATGAAAATTAAGGTGTTTATGTGCCAGGGATCATAGAATTTTTGTAGAACAGTACCACAAGTCCAGATTAAGATTCAATTTCCTAAAGCGTCCTTACCTTGTCTCCCAATGGCCCTGGTCGGTTGGGCTGACCCCTTCTCCACCCTCTCCATCATGCAGAGCTCTGGCTGGCAGCTGTCCTTCACTGCTCCAAAGCATGCCACAGTCCCTTTGAAGTCCACACACTGCTTTTGGTCCCCATTTGCCCCTCATATCCCCCACCCCACCCCACCTTTCCAGGAAATCCTTAGCATTCCTAGAGTTCAGTCCCGGAACTACCTTCTTAAGGAAGGTCTCCCTGACTCTCTGGATCACAGCACCAAGCTCTGTAGCTCCGTCCCTTCCCCTGGGTTATCCATACACTGAGAAGAATGTGACTGAAGTCTGTCCAGGTAGCTGGCAGCTCCATGAGAGCTGACGTCACGTACTGTTTCTGCTCAGCAACACAGTCCCACACCTGGCACAGGGAACAGGGGCCATATAGCTGAAAGAAGGAACGAACACTCAACAAGAATAGGTAAAGACAAGCTGATGTAGGGTGTTCTGCTGTTATAGGCCTTTTTCATAGAATCTGCTATAATGATATAATTTAAGAAAGCAGCATACTTGTGGTGATACAAAAAAAACACCATCTATCCACATACTACTGGACCAAGTAAAGGTGAAAAATTTGTAGGAGTCAGGCTCTAAAACCTAAGAGCAGCCATCTGTGCTGATTGTGTAAATCCCTAACAGACCTTGGGGGTCATGACAATAGTCTGTGCTAAGGGAAAAGTGTGCCCTGACCCTGAGCAATGTAAAGAGACAATCTGCTCCCCCATGATGTATGGCTGTAACCGTATCTTGTCTTCCTTTATGATGCATGTCTATATACCGTGGCTTATTTTAAAACTAAGGAAAAATGATAATCTTTTTAAGCCTAAGAATAAACTGTAGCTAATCCTGCATGATCTTAACTGACACTTGTGTAATGTGTGGCTGAAACTGAATCTTATTTTAAACATAAGTGAAAACTGTAACTAATCTTGCAAGATTTTAATGGGCACTCTGGAATGTAATTTTAGAGTATAAACGCAACCTCCGTTTTTGAGTCATTTGTGGGACAGATTGAAGTTCCATGGCCCATCACAATCTCTGGGCCCACTGTGGTAAAAAAAACATATGCCCTCCTCCCCTTCTTGATTTTGGCTCTCTTACAGAGTCATGACAAAGTCAGGTATGACACTACAAAAGCATACGTGGGAAGGGAGGTGGGGAGGAGAGATGTGGATCACACACCAGAAGCAGCAAAGGTGTCTTTAACTTGGCAGTAACATTTTAAATGAGGGAGGCAGGGCAGGTAATGTTGCTGTGAATTTGTAGCCGATTCTATTTACAGTGGATAGAACAAAAGTGCTCATTTTTCTAATTCTTAAACAAAAATTCTATGTACCTACAATTTAATTAAGACATACTAAAATTGACCCAGTTCCTGAGATGTCAGGAATAACTAATGTTATTCCTTTTTTTGAAACTTTTTTTTCTTTTTGCCATATAGTCCCCTGCCCCCAACATATATATGAATATAATGACAACTTTGTTCATATTCATTATTCTAATATTTATTATTTAGCTCTCCAGAAAAAAACTCATAAAATAATTCATATAATTAAGTTGGGGAAAAAAAACCCAACCTACTTCAAAAATGCCCCAACCCCAAACAATTAAATGCCATTCAAAACTTGAAGTGGCATCACTAGGCTGTTATTTATTTATTTATTTTTGATAGTTTTTTGGGGGCCATGTTAGGCAGTGCTTAGAGCTCACTCCTGGCTTTGCACTCAGTGACAAAGTGGTACCAAGGGTTGATACCAGATCATCTGCATGCACAAAGTGCCCTACCCAATGTTCTATCGCTCTGGCCCCAGGAATCTAGACTTCTAAATTTATGCTTCTGTAAGGTCTCAGGAATGAGCAATATAAGCAGTATAATTTCTACAGCCTTCTTTCGTTACAGACAATGCTAGCAAGACTAACTGGTTGTTCCTTCCAGACTACAGTTCACTTAGAAAATCTCAGCACACATATGCCTGGCTCTGCTGTACAGACAGATCAAGCAGACACTGTTCGGGACACTTTCGCCTCTTCGTCTGACAGCAGAATCAGTAGGGGCATTTTCTCCCAGAGCATCACATGGTCAAGAGTACCTATATGCAGAAAAGGTCAGAGGAAGCTGACATGCAGTTGCAGTGCTTGACTTGGCCACAGGCTCTGCCCTATCCCAGACCATAAACGTCTCCACTCACATTCTCTCACCGGTCACTGCATAGTTGACATTCTAACCCTTACAACACTTTCCTTGCCTTTACAATGAGACCGTGCGTAGACGTCCCTGTGGTCTAACAACAACATTCCCCAGTCTCCTGCCCCTCCCAGCTCACTCCACAGCCACACCCACCCTTAGCCATCGAAACTCTTTCATCACTTAAAGATGCTTTCTTTTTGCCAAAGTTATTCTCTCTCTGGGAACATCCAAGAGAGAGAGAGATGTTATATGCTATTCTCTAACATCTACTATCCTTTACTTTCCAAACTACAACTTTTTTGGGGGGGAGAAGGTAAAGGGAAGGGGATGGAGGCAGAGGCAGTGCTTAGGCGTCTCAGGGCCACTCCCTGTGATACTCAGCCAACTGGCCAGGCAGCTCCAAAATAAGGCTAGAGGATGTGGTGCTGCTGGGGCCCTACAGTACCACCTTGGTGTTGGGGGGCATTTGGGACTACACTGAGTAATACAGGTTGCCAGGAATCAAACCAAGGTCGCACATATACTAAGCATGGGCCCTAAGCCTGTGTTGATTCCCCTGTATGAACTCAAACCATAGCTTTTAGCTCATGATTCCCCCTAACTACGCTATAGGATGAAAACTTCTCTAATGGCCTTTTATGACTTGTTCACATCAATCGTTTCTGTATTATAAACATATAAACATTTCTTCTTTAGTCTGTCTTACTTATGGGTGTCATCTCTTCAGTAAGCTTCACAAGGCAGGGGCAACTACCCAGCCTTTACCACTCAGTCTGGCAACATGAGTCCACAGCATTAATTCACAGCTGGTATATGAGCATGAAGCTCTGAGTGTGTAAAGACAAAATGCTGGGAGGGAAAGTTCTGTACAAATAAGGAACACCTGCTGTGAGGGACTTCACCCACTGGTATATCATAATAAACCAACGGGTCTAGGAATCTGGGATGAGCAACTCCAAATGTATCTGCTCTGAGAACAAGAGGAAACAAAGAACTAGGTACCCACCTGGGATGTAGGGGTCAGTTGCAAAGTAGCCATGCCAATTTCTTTCGGGTTTCCTGCAGAGGGAAGGTTTGAGTCTTCAGACAGTGAACCTGTAAGAGTGGACAGAGCATGCAATCACTGTCTTGAAGCAAACTCGCAGAAACTGTCATGGACAGGCGCTTGTCACTCAAGCAGGACAATCTCACATTTTTTGAATCCAGACAACCATGACCATAGCTGTCTTGGCTCTCCTATCCCCCTCAATATTTAAACTCCAGAAGAACCTGCTGAGAATCTGCATATATAAATGAAAAACTAATTTCTCTCTCTTTCTCTCTCTCTCCCTCTCTCTCTCTTTCATGTATTGAGAGTCAAAATAATATTCTAGGGGTCAAAAGTGCTCCCTTAGTGATTGTTATTGAATTAAGACCCATTTGTTCCATTCTAGGATTACACACATAAACACTAGTTCAATTCCCTTTGAAAGTGTCTTTTCAAACTATACTGGCTTTCGCAGATCTTAGCACGGGATTAAGTCTCCAGGATTCTAAGCATGTGCAGCAACTTCTAGAATCCCCATCTGCAAAATGGGCGTAACGAAAGTCACTTTAAGTCACCTTTGGGGTTCTGAAGACAAAGGGGAAGCCACGGATGAAAATCAAATTGCAGCAGCAATGATGGGGGTGGGGGCCTGGGTGACAAACATCACCCTAAAACCTGCCCGGGCAATACAAGTGGAGGGCTCCCCTGCAGATCCCCAGGTGGCACCTACTAGGAAGAAAGACAAGAGCAGACCAGACGCGCCTCATCCTACGCCTGCCCCAGCCAGAGGGCAGCCTTTCCCCTGCTTTCTCCACTCTGGCAGGCTCCGCCACGTCCCCCTCGGAAATCCTCACCTCTGCCCGGGGGCTCCATGGCTTCTCCCTCCCCCGGCCCGCTAGGGAGGCGGCCCCGCGGGGTAAGGGCGCGGGGGGACCACGTTGGGCTGGGGGTTGCGGCGCGCAGATCCGCCCAGGGCTCCGCTACGCGAGCGCGACCCTCGCCGGGCAGCCTGGCGTCTCCCACTCGGGCGCCCTCCCGTCGCCCATTTGCCGGCCCCTCGGACTTAAAGGACAGTGGACCCCAGGCTTGACCAAATGCCCAGCTCGGAGGAAGCCCGGGCCCAGCGACAAAGGCATCGAAACCCTGGGCGGCGGCCCTTGCGCGAGGCTGAACTACAACTCCCAGAATCCTCCGCGGCGCGCGGTTGCGTCACCAAACGCCGCTTTCCAGGGAGGGCCTCTATCAAACCAATACTTGCAGGAAAGTTAGCGTTCTTGATCACATTGGAGCAAATTTCACATTTAATCATTGTTTTAGAGGCTTGGCACCCGTCATCCTAACCTAAACACGTAATAATTTTGTTTCGATTTATATCTTATTTCAAACCACAATAAACTTTCATAAAGCTTTACATTTTTAGTTAACACCTATAGAGATTTTTCAGCGACATGGGGGGGGGGGTACTTGAAATAAGGGGAGCTAGAACATTTCCTATTGGATCTCTTAAACCTTTAATAAGAGCCATAACCGGGCTTTCTAAGTTAACTATAGAGTTCCAAGATTTAGATATTTTTTCTATTACTTTTTTTTTTTTTAAATTGAATCAGTGAGATACACAGTTGCAAAGTTGCTCATGACTGGGTTTCAGACTTATAATCTATTGATTTAAGTTTTTTGCTGCATAAAATGAATAATAAAAATGCACATGTTGCATTGTGTATAGCTCATTTTTTATACCTAAGAGTATATTATATTATTTATATTATATTTATGGGCTAGAGCAATAGCACAGTGGGTACGGTGTTTGCCTTGAACGCAGCCAACCTGGCCGACCCGAGTTCAATTCTTCCGCCCCTCTTGGAGAGCCCGGCAAGCTACCGAGACTATCTCGCCCGCATGGCAAGCTACCCTGACGTATTAGATATGCCAAACACAATAACAACAAGTCTCATGATGGAGACGTTACTGGGCCCGCATGAGCAAATCAATGAACAACTGGAGGACAGTGCAGTGCTATTATATTTATATTTTATATATTATTTATATATTATCTGGAGCGATAGCACAGCAGGTAGGGTGTTCGCCTTACAAGCGGCCAACATGGCCGATCCAAGTTCGATTCCTCCGCCCCTCTCGGAGAGCCTGGCAAGCTACCGAGAGTATTCGATATGCCAAACATAGTAACAACAAAGTCTCCAATGGAGATGTTACTGGGCCCGCTTGAGCAAATCGACGATCAACGGGAGGGAAATTATATTATATTTATATTATTATCTAAGAAAGGCTGGATTGATAGCACAGCGGGTAAGGCATTTGCCTTGCACGCAGCCGACCCAGGTTTGAATTCTCCGTCCCTCCCGGAGAGCCCTGTAAGCTACTGAGAGTATCCCGCCCTAACGGCAGAACCTGGCAAGTTCCCTGTGGCATATTCGATATGCCAAAAATAGTAACAGAAAGTCTCACAATGGAAACGTTACTGGTGCCCACTTGAGCAAATCGATGAACAGTGGGAGGACAGTGCTACAGTGCTACAATCTAAGAAACTCCATGTACCCTTCAGAAATCCAGTGTGTCTAGAAGTAAAGCATACATTTTTTTTCTAGAATTAGAAGTATTTTGCTTATTTTGGGTGTGGGGTCACACCCAGCTGTGCTCAGAGCTTACTTTTCCTTCTGCTCAGGAATCACTCCTGGAAGTGCTCTGGGGACCATAATGTTGTGCCAGTGATCAAACCTGGGTTGGCTGTTTGCAAGGCAAGTTCCCCACCTGCTGTACCTCTAGTACTGTTGGATTTATTTACATAATCAGTTGGTCTTGGCCTCTGGTTCTACTTGGAATTCTTGAGACACTTATAGGTTGCTGACCATCGAGACAATAATAACTGCAGTTCCCGATTCTGCCTCTTGTTAAGTCAACTATAGCTAAGGAATGAGACTACAAACAGTTCTTGAAGAAAAGGATAATGATGACGAGGCCAAGCCTCCTGCACAAAGGATATTGGGAAATAATGATTCCTGGAAGATCATGGCAGGAGACCTTAGGTCCTGCCTACTCTCACAAGGCCCCACATCCTACCCTAGGATATTTTCAAACCACTCTAGAGAGTCATTTTTAAAGCCATGACATTTATAGCACGAATAGGGGAAACCCAAGGCCAATTCACAGCCCTGTTCACCTCTCATGGAGCCCACAGTTCTATCACCTTGTATGTTTCCTAGGCAGCGTTCTCTCCACTTACACAGAAACATCTTTGGAACCTTCGCTCACCACAGGTACCTGCTCCTTCACCTTCAATTTTACTTCCATTGGGGAGACAGGGAAGTATCGGACAGAATTCCCGTACTTCCTCCTTCACATCACCCTTAGGTGGCTAAAGGTTCATTCAATTTCTCTTGCCCACTTGAGTTTTGATCCAGCAGAGAACAAAGGAGAAAGACAAACAGAAACAATGCAGCCGTCGCTAGCCCAGGTGGGCGTCAAGTATTTGAAATGTGGCTAGTCCAAATCGGAGGTGTGGCGTAAATAAAATACACTCACCACATTCCCAGAACTTAATTTCAAAAGGGAATTGATCTCAAATTTTGTATTGATTACATATTTATTTTTGATTTTCATTTGGGGGCCTCTCCGGGGTTCTCCCTGGTGGTACTCAGGAGGTGATGCAGTAGTGGGCAGAACCTGGGCGCTGTGTATGCTGGACACATGATCCTACCTCTTGAGCTATATTCCCTGGCCCCAAATATTATTAAATTTAATTCTAATGCTTTATTTTGCTTTTAAAAGAAGAATGGAAATTCTATTTCTATCAGAAAGTACCAGTTAAAAATATCTGAACCTTAAGGTGGAGTTCATGCCCAATTCAATCAGCCTAATCAGTGGTTGAATAAATAGCAGTACTCCTAGGGTAAAGGTAAAGGCCCTCCCGTTGATCGTCGATTTGCTCGAGCGGGCCCAGTAACGTCTCCATTGGAGACTTTATTGTTACTGTGTCTGGCATATCGAATACTCTCGGTAGCTTGCCGGGCTCTCCGAGAGGGGCGGAGGAATCGAACATGGCCGACCCGAGTTTGATTCCTCCGCCCCTCTCGGAGAGCCCGGCAAGCTACCGAGAGTATTCGATATGCCAGACACAGTAACAACCAGCAGTACTCCTACATTTAAAAAAATCTGGACTTAAGCTAGGGATGTGACTCAGTGGTAGAGTACATGCCTTGCATGTGTGAGACCCTGGGTGTGATCCCTGGCATCATAAAACCAAGGAAACACTAGACTCAGGTATAGGGCTTAGGATCTTTTCAGCTGTATTTTTTTAATGTTTCTGTAGCCTGATGTTTGGGTTTCTCCTCTTGGTGCCAAGTCAAACTTAGTTATGTAGAGAAAAGTTTATTATGTGTGACAAAAGATATAGGGAAACACAACACTGTTTCCATGAGTCTATGTTTATAGAACATTTAGGAATCTACACATTAGATGCAAACTGCTAATTGGTGAGGACCAACCTTAATTATCCCTAAACTAGTTTCTACCCCCAAAGAAGTTCCCAAATATGCTGAGACATACATTTCTTCTTCAAAAAAGGATACAAAACTCTTTCCCAAAGTGGAGATCATCCTATACTATACTATGCTATGCTTGGAATTACTTGCTGGTCACTGAAAGATGAATGAACTTGTTTGTAGGTTAGCTGGTGACATCTTCTTGGTGTCATGTAGGAGTCCTGGCAAGGGAATAAAGCTACACAACAGATCATGAAATACCTTTGCAAATTATTTACTGGCATCTACAGGTTTGAGTTCATCAATTTTTGTGAAATTTAGGTACTACACTTTTTCCAGGTCCAGATCCTTATCCTTATGCTGTCACCTGTTTTATCTGACTTTCATGCTTCTATCAATACAAGCTATTATATACCTGTCTACAGTACATTGTCCTATAAAGAAATATTGGAGCAAATACCTCATCCTCCCATCCCAACACTTGGGCTTCTTTCTGCCTTTTTTCTTACAGGAATCCTGCCTTAGTCACATAGAACACTTAGGAACTAACTTGACAGCCACTGCTCTTGTTCTCTTGGACTCCCTGAGGACCCATAGTTGTGGTATTTTCAGTGAGTTGCCAATGACTGGAACCTGGTAGTTTTGCTTCCCAGATCCTCTTTACCTGTCTTATTAATGTAACCATTTGGGGGTTGTTGTAGCATAGAGTTATAGAAGAGTGAGAGGTTGTAGCAGAGTTCAGAAGCTCGCTGACCTCTCCTCTGATCACCCTTGCATCCTGATACCCAAGACACATTTATTGGATTGATAGACTCCTTACATAGACTGCATCTTAATTTGTGTGTTATTCTCTGCTAAAACTTAACATCTCTTAACATTTACATGGGGCTTACTTAAGTGACAGAGAAATTACTTTATCAAAATGACTTCTAATGTCCTAGGTTAAAACCCTAACAGGGCTGGAGAATAAGTTCAATAGGCAAAGTACATGCTTGGTAGGCAAGAAGCTCAGGTTTGGTTTTTTTATTCTTATTTTAGTTTTTGGGCCACACTCACCAGTCCTCAAGGTTTATTCCTGCCACTGTTCCCAGGAGTCACTCCTGGTGGGGCTCAGGAACTATATAGGGTGCTGGGGATCGAGCTCAGATTGGTCACAAAAAAAGGCAAATGCCTTACCTGCTGTACTGTCACTCCAGCCCCAGGAGGACTGTTTGACTCCCAGTACCCCATGGACCCCTGAGCACTGCTGGGAGAAACCCCAAAGCACAGAGCAGGAAGCAGGCCCCAAGAATCAACAAACAAAACAAAATAAAACAAAATAATCTATAAACATGGCCAAGTCTTTTGCCTCTTAGAATACTGTTGAGAACTGGCATACTTCCAAAAGGACCAATTTCTCATGCCAAGATCTGAACTAATAGTCATGAGGTGAAACTAAAACCTCAATATAACAGTTTCTACTACTATCTGCCCAATTGAGAAATGTTTAAAAAGTAAAATGACCCTTTCCTTAGAATAATTTGCACATGGAACTGTATTTCACATCTTTTCTTTCTCTTCTTTTCTGCTTTTCTGCACTGCAGGGCAGTTGGAACCAATGATAATCCCATGCCAAGCAAATATTTACCACTGATCTTCATTCCTGGCACTGTATTTAATTTTTTAATATCCCATAAAGCATCAATTAAACAAAATAGGGATATAGTCAGCAATGCTCTAGAGGCCCAGGAGGATGCCTGGTCATGTAGCATTTTCACACATGTGCTGTCACTTGAGCTATCCTCTCTGATGACAAAAATTTGAAAGGTAGAATGAATAAATTTATGTTTTCACTGTTTCAATAATTACTGTACTCAAAGTACATTTGAGGTTTGAATTTATCTCACCTCATCTGTTTACGGTGGCAAAATCTCTTGGGGAAATATACGTCTATTTTTAACTCATCAAATTAAAGAGTCAGAACTCTTAAAGACCGTCAAAATTTTGTCAGTAGTCTTTTATTTTCTACCTCCCATAAATATATCATTCAAACCAACAGTCTTCATTCTGAAGTATTTTTAAGTTGCTTTGAAACTCTTCATCTCATGTCTTCTCTGTCACTTAAAGGTGAGTCTGTAGGTCTGTGGACAGATTGGGGGAAGGAATCTACTTGCTAATTCAGCTTCTTGAATCTGACTTTTATTCCCCTCAGGAGAAATGAATTTTGGTGCACTGAGATCCAATCAGGTTCACTAAGTTCTAGAGTCTTCTAAGGGAAGTTTTTTTCCAGGGTTCACCTTCAGCAGAGAAAATGCTGATACCAACAAAGTTTCCGATACCTGACTTTCAAAATATCCAAAAAATATCGTCTGGGTATCTCTTCCATGATAATCTTGGAGGCAATGTGTTCAGAGGTTGAGAACAGAATATGACTGATTGACATCAGATTTCATATGAGAAATGAATCTTTATTTGAGGCTTACTTGTTATGGCACATAACTAAGTAGATATCTTTTCAATAAGGAATAAGGAAGACAAGGAGCTAGGAAGTGACTTCTGCAGTAAAGGGAGCCTGAGAAGATAAAGGTATAGGCCAGACTGAAAATTCAGACAAAGAACGTGTTTTAAATAGAGTGAACTTTGTATGTAAGTCATTTCTTAAGATACTTACTAAGCACCTATTATTTGCAAGGCACCACGTGAGATACACATTATGTTACACCTCCAAGTATTACAATCTAGTTGAGAAGACAATACATGTACATAAATTATAAAACATACCATACATCATAATGGTAAAGAGAGTAGACTTTTAAAGATAGGTCTGCATTTTAAGACCTACCTTCACATTTTAATAGCTATGTGCCACCTTGGGAAAGTTACTTCTTGTAACTCTTGGCTGAGTACTTAACCCATAATAATAACTTAAATTAGTACTAGCTAGAACTAGCTAGTTCTAGCAGTAAGTAGTGGTAGTAGCAGTAGTAGGTGACACCCAAAAACAGAGATGCAGACGACCAATGTCAGCGCCCTAGAAAGCTCTGAGCGGGATTAACAACTATAAAAGACCGCCTGGAAACAGCAGTGCTGCTCGAATGGAATTTTGCCTTTCCACACTTTGACAGCCTCTAGCTAATCCTCCTGGGGCCGGAGACTGGAGGATCAATGCTAGTCTAACACCCGTCTGCAGAACGTTGACTCCGGGACTGCCACCCTCCTTTCCTTTTCAGCACCCAGCACCCACGGGCTCAGAAACACAGCAGGCGGACTCAGTTGCGGGGAGGAGCATCACGGCCAGGATAGGTAGAATCATCACACGGTGGATTTGAGACTCCAGGGAGACCTCAGATTTATTTATTTATTTATTTATTTTTTTAACGGAGGGCAAAAATCGTCGACGCAAACAAACTTCCCACCGGGCTCAGTCTATCCCCTGCTTGGCATAGCGTCGCTGGTGCTGGATCACGGACGACTTGGAGCTGAAGACCTTGCCGCAGACGCTGCACTCGAAGGGCTTCTCGCCGGTGTGCACCCGCTGGTGGCGCGTCAGGCGGCAGCGCTGGCTGAAGGCCTTGCCGCACTCGCCGCACGCGTAGGGCTTGTCCCCGGTGTGGATCTTCTGGTGCTGCGTCAGGTAGGAGCGGTCGAAGAAGGCCTTGCCGCACTCGGCGCAGCGGTGGCGCGGCTCGCCCGCGTGCGCGCGCTGGTGCCGGTTGAGCGAGGAGACGCCGTAGAAGGCCTTGCCGCACTCGGCGCACGCGAAGGGCTTGCGGCCCGTGTGCACCAGCTGGTGGCGCGTCAGGATGCTCTTCTGGCTGAAGGCCTTGCCGCACTGGCCGCAGCCGTAGGGGCTCTCGCCCGTGTGGATGCGCCGGTGCCGCGTGAGCGACGAGCGGTCGAAGAAGGCCTTGCCGCACTCGCCGCACGCGAAGGGCTTCTCGCCCGTGTGGATGCGCTGGTGCACCGTGAGCGAGGAGCGGTCGAAGAAGGCCTTGCCGCACGCGCCGCACTCGTAGGGGCTGGCGCCCGTGTGCGACACCAGGTGCCGGCTCAGGCTGCTGCGGTGGCTGAAGGCCTTGCCGCACTCCTGGCAGCCGTAGGGCTTCACGCCGCTGTGGGTGCGCCGGTGGCGGAGCAGCGACGAGGGGTCGCGGAAGCGCTTCCCACAGTCCGGGCATTCCTGCGCTCGCTCTTTCGGGAGCGTTTTCCTGGGAGGGGTCGGCCCCGGCCGCTGACCCCCGTCCTGGGAAAGGGGGCTCCTGCGAGGAGGCGACGCCGCAGGCCTTTGCTTCTCGGTGCCCAGCACCCTCTCGGGAGCAGGAACTTTGCATCTGGAACCCAGAGGACCGCTCTTTCCAAGCCAGACCCTCAACGCTCCGCCCGGTTTTGCTGCTTCTGGAGCGCCTTGAATGCCAGGCTTCGCCTCCCCGTCTGGAACAGACAGAAGACACAGTTTCTTTGCTGGGCAGAAAAAAACAGGATAGATCTTGAAAACGAGCTGCAACATTCGCTCCCCACACAGTCTCGCACTTAAGGAAAAGATCAAGTCTTGGGAATGACTGGGTTAGGGAATAGAAGTAGTGGGGAATAAATAGAATTCCCCCTTAGGAAAAGGGGGAACTTTCCACTGGAAGTAAGGTCGTGATGATTAGAAGAGTATGCAAAGAGGAAGGGAAGGTGGGGAACAAAAAACTCAAAAGTGAAAACTATTGACGCAACACACCTGAGAAAATAAACATATGATGAATAAGGACAAATATTACTCGAAGGTGTGAAGGAGACAATGAAAGGTGGCGGCTTATTCTCCACCAAGAATGAAGAATAAAATGATGATCTGAATTTGAAAAAAAAAATTGACACCCAATTTACCCCTCCTCTTTCACATACACACCTCAAAACAAACGCTGCACTATGACATTCACATTCCATTACCTAGAGAGAAATCTGCTGGACATTCTTCTGCTGATCCATGAAGATCAACCACCCAAGGCTCATCACAGATTTTCAAATGAAAAATCATATCAGGTCGAGGAACTGGAAGTCCTACTCAAAGAGAAAGAAACAAACCAGATGACCATATGTTATGAAAATACAAAACCATTCTGAAGCTTCTAACTATTCTAGTTTCTAAGACTTTCAGAGGAAAAAAAAAATGCAAAAACCAGAAAGTACTCGCCATGAATGCAGAGCACAGAGTATGCAAAAAAAAAAAAAAAAAAGCAGGGACTTCTGAATAGAGGTCAACATCCAGGCTCCAAAAAGGAACAAGCACTTGGTCAGAAAATTGATTAAAAAAAAAATCCATTTGAATCTATGTGTTTTCCTCCGCTCCAAGAAGGAATGGGATTGGGCTGGAGAGACAGTCCCTCAGGAAAGGCACTTGCATGGCACAGAGCCAAACCTACGTTTGATCCTCAGCACTACACAGGGTCACATGAGTACTGCCTGGAATGATTCTTGAGCACAAAAACAAGAGTAAGCCCTGAGCCCAGCTGGGTGTAGTCCAAACTGCAGTTCCCCCCACCCCCCCAACAACAACAACAAAAGAACAAAATGGAAATCCTAGCTTTAGCACTGGTATGACCATGGAAAAGAATACTTAGCTCAGGGAAGAGAATGAAAATTTACCATTTTAAGAAATATTTTAAAAAAAATGACAAAATTTGCAGCCCAAAGTTTTCCTTGTTTCCTCTTTATTATGATGCTTTTATTTAAATAAGTGAATCATGTTTAAGAAAAACTAGAAATAGGTACAAGTAAAAAGAATTTTTACTTGAAAAATCACACTATAAAATTTATACTTTGTATTAATTTTTTTTCATTCTGATACTTCCAGATACCTATAGTCTTTGAAAACTGGTTTTATATCAGATGAAGTTTTATGTTTATAGAACAATTAAAATTAGGAAAAATAAATTGGAAAGTCAATTTGGAAAATAACAACTGGAGAGTCTTATCTGGAAAATAACTAAGACCACCCTATCTAAAGTAAGTTCTATTTATTTTGAAATTTACAAATAGATCATTACTAAATCCATCATGTTGGATTGGGAGGAAAATAAAAAGTGCTCAGTCTGTTCCACTTGGTCTTTTCTTGCAAGCCAGCAACCTGTGGCAAGCATGTATTCTACTCTGCTCTGCTCTGCCCAGAGCAGGCCCTTCATGTTGCTGAGCCAGAAAAGGAGGGATCCCAGACCTGCTCACAGTTTATGGAGTAAGTCTATCCCTGTTGGTGCTCAGAGATTACTCCTGGCTTGGCACTTAGGGATCACTCCTGGTGGGGCTCTGGGGATCATATATGGGATGACAAGGATGGAAATTAGGTCAACTGTATGCAAGGCAAGTACCCTCCCTACTGTACTACAAGTTTGGTCCCAAGTTTGTCCCTGCAGGGGTTCAGGATTAAGAAGCCCACTCCTATTGTAATAACAAGACAAAGCTTCCTCCTCTTCCATCTGGTCTCTCAGTAGTTTAGAACTAGATGAAAGAAGAAGAGCATCAATTTATTAATTTCTTAACCCCACATAAGCCCAGTGCAGAGACCAACTCCCTTCTTACCCAATGAGACAAAACTCTTATAATTCTCCAGCATCACCTCCTTGTACAGACCCCTCTGAATGGGGAGCATATGCCGCCACTCTTCATCTGTGAAAATCACAGCCACATCCTCAAACGTCAAAGTTTCCTGTAAACACAATCATAGTCTCCCTTACTCTTAAAACTTCTCTGTGGACCAAACAAAACCTGTATTAATATGACAGCTCTAAATGAGTTGGAGGAAGAGAAGGGGAATGGTTCTGACAAAGGAGGGCTCTGAAGCACTGGGAAAGGATAGCATGATTCCTCAAAGCATGATTTTCTTTGTCATAACCCCATACTACTACACATGCTAGGATAACTGAGCTTCTGCTATCAGGGTTTTTTCCACTACTTAGAGAAAAATGGCAAATACCTCCACCCAGCTTATCCAAATGCTGATATTTTCTGCATTTGCACACCACCTAACCCAATACCCTCTGGAAAATAGGTGTACTCTCAGTCTATTCATGGATATACTAAAAGTATGTCTAGACTAGAACTAGCCTGGAGTCTCCCAAACCTTTCCATCAAACTCATTGTTTAGGTAAAATGACTCCAAGCAAAGACCACAGCCTTGTGACAGGACAGTGAGAAAAAGTCCAAGGCAAGAAAAGATGATGGGCTACATGTCAAATGGAAGAGCACTTTCCTCAGGGTCTTTCACCCACAGGACTAGGTTTGATCAAAGGGGCACTAGGACAAAGAAAGTGAAGATATTCTGGAGACGAATGGAGCCCTTTAGAGATGCAGTGTCTAGCTCACCTGATGTCTGGCAGCCGGAGAGCTCTCAGCCATTCCCTCCTGGGTATTCTTCTTTGAGAGAAGGACAGGCAGTCCAAGTCTTAATGAGGCAGAGGAGTGGAGTAAGAAGGAATATATGTGAAACATAAGTTTATTTTGTCATTTTCTGACCCAGAAAGCAAGAAAAATTCATATGCGAGAGAGTTATTTCCTTACTCTCATTCTCGGCACTTCATAAAAGCAAGGCCACTTCATCCCAGAATCTGAGCAAATGGTCAAGGAGGTTGCTACGCATGGCATGACACAATGTGTTGCTTGCTTTATCATGACCCCAGAAGTCAAGAACTTCCTGGGAGTCAAGAACCTCTTAGAGCTCGTACTGTACTTATAAGTTTACATTTGATACAACCTTGTATGATACCTAGACAAAAGGTGTCAGAAATTATGTAAATTATGATGTAGATGACGTGTGTCAAGGAAACACCAGGGGGAAAAACGTCATGTGGAGGCCTTGATTTCTTATACATAGTTCTTCACTTAGCTCCTGAGTCACAATTAGTATTCAGGCAGGCAAAGCAGAGTTTGACCAGTTGGCTGACATGCAGCCTTATTGGGAAAGATAACATCCTTCCTTGGGAATATGAACTAAGAGGGGGAACCAAAGCTATCAGGAAGCAGAACCCATAAACATGTGGGCGAGAAGATGTAGAGAACAGAACATGGGACCGTGAGGCTGGGGAGATGGCTCAGAGTTGGTGCACGCACTTTGCATGTGGGAGGTCTAAATTCCATCTCTGCCATCCTGAATCCCATCAGGAGAGATCAAGAATAGCGCCCAAAGAACCACTGCGTGTTGTTATTCATGCTCTTCTCCCCCATCCCTCACCTCCCCCCACCACACAATATCCAGTAATACTGGACAGAGTTGAGAAACGGCTTGGCCACACTGTGAAGCAAAGACCCTAAAATTCCTGGGCCTGGAGCCAATTTGCATTAGACAACCTTTATTCTTATATTTTCACGAGATGAGCCTTTTTTTTTTTTGAGATGAGCCTTTTTAATCTCCATGTGAGACCTTATCACTAAATTCTCTTTACTTGGGTTAGTTACATGTTCCCTTTTTCTCAAAATCAAGAGTAATTAAAGTATCATGAAAGCAAGTATTTTTAGGTTCATGAATAAAGCAAGGACAGAGTGTGGGCCTAGGGAAGGAGAAAAAGGCATTCAAAGTTTGTAACTCACTAGTCTCTTGCAATTAAATGTTAATGAAACCTTATTATTAATAATCTATCCAACCAATATTATTCAGCACCAACTATTTATATCAAGCATGAAAACTATATCCTTGTTTTCCCCAAACCTTATAGCTTAGCTTATATAGCTTAGCATGGGCCAAATAAGTAGGCACAATAATATTTCACTCTAGGACGGTTAAGTGCTATAAAGATACAGACATAGTAAGCTATGAGAACAAATTAGAAGCTTGTCTAAATAATAAGAAAAAGGAACGTGGGCTGGAGAGATAGTACAGGGGGTAAGGCACTTGCCTTGCACCTGGCCAATCCAGGTTTGACTGCAGGCATCACACAGTGTCAGGAGCAAGTCCTGAACATAGCTAGGCATGGCCCAAAAACAAAACAAAACAACCCCTCCCCAATAAAAGGAATATTGTAATGTTGTTTGACAAGAGTGGATTTCACTTGTTTTTATTTGTAAGAAGAGATGGAACATTTCAGACAGGAAAGGTAGAACATTGGACCCAACCCTTTCATTTCTTAATAATCCTTTACATACTGATTTTGGGATTTTGGCTATACCCAGTGGTGCTCAGAGTTTACTCCTAGCTCTGTGCTCATGGATCACTCCTGATTGGGTTTGTGAGACCACATGGGGAGCTGAGGATTGAACCCAGGTCAGCTGCATGCAAAGCAAGCATCCTATCTGTAGTATTATCTCTCCAGCCCCAATTTTTATTTCTTTGGTATTTTTTTTTTTATTATTAAATCCCGTACTGAGGGCATACTCCTGATTCTGTGTGCTAGGATCACTTCCTCCTGGTGGTTCTCAAGGGACTAAATGTGGTGCCAAGGATCCAACTGGATCAGCTGTGTGCAAGGGTGACTCTGTCTTGGGAAAGAGAGTATGAGGAGGCCTTTACATGGAATCTGCCTGCTTTCCTTCTTTATGGTTTGGCTGTGTATTCTTGCAAGATCACTATCGTCATCTTAGCCATGAGTACAAGTATAGACTGATTCCTGAGTCCTAGCAAATCCCTGAATGTTAAGCAATCCTGAAGACCTCTGACACAGGTGGTCACTACCTGCTGGGAAGCTGGGGTGGAATGGGACTAGTTGACGGCAAGATCGGAGGTAAACAGACCCTTGAAGACACCCTTACAATGAGTTAATCAAGAAATGATCAATTAAATGAATGCAGAGGAGAAGAACTACTGTCTATTAACAACTGACAGCAGACAGACTGGAAGAAGAGGCTGAAGGCTCTGGAAAGGCAAGAACAGCTTCAAGGTCACTGATCTAAGCAATGGCATGGCCAATGGCACTACTCATGGAAATGAATGACAGAGAAATAGACCTGGAAGGAAAGCTAAAAAGGACAGCTTGGGATATTGAGACCCATCTCTTTCCTCTCGAGAGAGAGGATCAGATAGCCAAACTATGAAATTATTTCAAAATGAGGATTTAAAATTTGAAGAGGCCATGAATTTCATACTCCAGGAAGTGAATATGAACTATCTTAAAAGTGGTTACAATGCAAAAGCAAAAAACAAAGAACAACAAAAAACAACAAAAAACCAAACCAAAACAATGTTTAAACCTTCCACTAGACAGGTATGTATTTGTTTCTATTATATGTATGACTAGATATGAAGTGAGGACATACTTCCATACTTGTATCCATTCATATAAGTATAAATAAGAAACCTAGGGAATGGGGGATACATCAAATCACCCCAGAAACTGGCTATATGGCTCTCAGATGGGAAGGACTAATGATGGACACTGGGGTCAAGTGGGAAGAAGCATTTGCGTTTCTGACAATGAACCCACAATGAGGAGGAAGGAACCATGCATGCATAACTGAAATCTGCCCTCTCTTAGGCAAAGAGGCCTCTGCTGGCCTAGTGAATGATACAACACCTACAATGTACTTTTCAAAAATGCTGATAGGCATGGGGAAATGCTCAAGTCACAGAGCACATGCCCCATATTGGTGAGGCCCCATGTTTGATCCCCAAGTGCTATATGTTTTCCTTTCCCTGGGGAACGTGGCTGGGTCTAATACACAGGCCAGAGCATAACGGCATCAAGGCTAGCACCAAGGGGCTAAGTATTGCCAGGACTGGCTTTCGGGGCCCCTAAAATACCACTGAGGGAGGCCCTATTAAAAAAAATGTCCAAAAACCAGATCAATATATATGTATATAATATATACTATCTGCTCCTCTCTGAGAGCCCAGCAAGCTACTGAGAGTATCTTGCCCGCACAGCAAAGCTTGGCAAGCTCCCCGTGATGTATTTGATATGCCAAACACAGTAACAAGTGTCACGATGGAGACGTTACTGGACCTGCTCAAGCAAATCGATGAACAACGGAAGGACAGTGACAGTGAATATATACTATATAGAACATCACGGTCACAGTCCTCCCGTTATTCATCGATTTGCTCGAGCGGGCCCAGTAACATCTCCATCATGAGACTTGTTGTTACTGTGTTTGGCATATCGAATACTTCATGGGTAGCTTGCTAGGCTCTGCCGTGCGGGCGAGATACTCTCGGTAGCTTGCCGGGCTCTCCGAGAGGGGCAGAGGAATCAAACTTGGGTCAGCCATATTGGTCACTTGCAAGGCAAATGCCTTACCCGCTGTGCTATAGCTCCAGCCCATATAGAACATATAGTATATAATATGTTGTTATAATATGTATGTCATACATACATGTGTAATATGTATGTTATATAATATATAATACATATATAATATGCACTATATATTATATTATATATTGGGCTGGTTCGATTCCTCCATCCCTCTCGGAGAGCCTGGCAAGCTACCAAGAGTATCCTGCCTGCATGGCAGAACCTGACAAGCTTCCCATGACATATTTGATATGCCAAAAACAATAACAACAAGTCTCACAATGGAGATGTTACTGGTGCCCGCTCGAGCAAATCGATGAACAATGGGAGGACAGTGGACAGTATATAATATATACTATACATAACATATAGTATATAATATATGCTATGCATAACACTCTGTTATGTATATGTGTGTGTGTGTATGTGTGTGTGTGTGTGTGTGTGTGTAACTATCTTACAGGACAACATGCTCAAGTCACAGAGCACATGCCTCATATTGGTGAGGCCCCATATTTGATCCCCAAGTGCTATATGTTTTCCTTTCCCTGGGGAATGTGGCTGGGTCAAATACACAGGCCAGAGCATGACAGCATCAAGGCTAGCACCAATGGGCTAAGTATTGCCAGGACTGGCTTTTGGAGCCCCTAAAATACCACTGAGAATAATACAGGCCAAACAAACCTTTGAAAGAATATTGTCTTGAGGCCAGAGACTAGCTCAATAGGCTGAGCACATGTGAGATCCCTTGCACCATGTGGTCCTCTGAACACAGAGCCTGGGGTAATCCCTGAGCATCACCACGTGTGTCCTCCAAACTAAAAATAAATATATAAGTAAATAAAAGACTCTAGTGCTGGATAGATAGCACAAAGGGTAAGAGGCTTGCCTTACTTGAAGCTGAGGCTGCAAACCTGGGTGGAATGCTCATGTGAAATCCACGTGAAGTCTCCTGTGTACAGCCAGGAGAGGTCCCTGAGTGATGCCAGGTATGTGCCTGCTGCCACCAACCAAAGAGAATATTACCTTGAGGGTAAACACTAGTTTGGAAAACTAAGACTCAGGGAAAAAGCAAAACTATTTTTAAAAAATTTCACTAAAAAAATGTTTTTAATAATAACAAAGAAGGCCATCCTGAAAAAGAGAGACTGGGATTTGTCTTTTTTGTTTGTTTATTTTAGACACCTCTAAAAGTGCCCACAGCTTATGCAGGACAAGTGTCTTCCCTGCTATACTATCTCTCTAGCCCAGAGAGATTGGGATTTGAATATTGCTAGGAGGTAGACAGTTTCCACAAATAAAAATGAACATATATTATCAGTAATAAACACAATTTGAAACATACATTGTTT